GAGCTTCTCTTCCCAGTGGATCGGGGATGATCGACATTCCGGGTGCTAATCAAGAGCTCAATTAGCTCCCATTGTCTGACTTGGATGCTCCCAGAGATTCTGGAGCATTCCAAAGCCTTGGGAAGGCACAGGGAGGAGCTGGATGCTGGATCTGGGAGGGAGGGAGGGATGGAAAAAGGACCTGGAGCACCCAGGCAGCGCCTAGAGCATGGGTTGGTGTTGGATGAGGATGGGGAAGAGTGGATTTTTCATGGAAAACATGCTTGAGTGGCTGATATCCAGGTTTTTCCAGGACAGGGATGAGCTGTGGAGTGCCAGAGCCACAGCTGAGTGCCCACATCCCAAATATCCCCCATAAATCCCAGCAGGAATTCCTCAGGAGCAGAACAACCTCCTCGCTCAGGCTCTTCCTCCCCAAAAATTCCCCTCCTCGGGGCCGGTCTGCTGGGAATTCCAGGAGGTGGGAAGGAAATCCTGCATGGAATGAACACCCTGAACATCCCAAATCCACGCAGGCAGCTCCTCCCAGAGCTCCAGGGCCTGGATTTTGGGGAGTTCCCTCTGGAGGAACCGGGATGGCCGGGAGAGCGGATTTCCCGCGCCGATCCCGCTGCTCCCGTGAAAGGAAGGGAAATCAGAGCTATTTTGGGAGTCCTGGGTTATTGTTTCCTCCTCCAGGAATTCCAGGAGTTGGGATTTTCACAGATCCGAGGAAAATGAGGGGGGGTTTCATGCTGCCAGAACAGGGATGGGACTCGGGAATTTTGGGGTGGTTTCTGCAGCAAAAGATGGGAATGCTGGGATATGGGAATTGGGTAATCTTGGAATACAGAAAAAATAGGGATATTGGAATATAGGGACATGGAATTGTGGGAATATTGGTGTACTGGAATGTAGGGAAATAGGAACATAGCAGTGTTGGAATACTGGGATATTGCAACACTGAAATACTGGAATATCAAAATATTGGAATATTGAAACGTAGGAATATTGAAATATTGGAAGGCAGGAATACTAAAACAACTGAAATATAGGAATATTGAAATATTGGAACACAGGTATACTGAAATACTGAATTATAGGAATATTGACATATTGGAACATTGAAATATTGAAATATTGGTGCACAGGAATACTGAAATGTAGGAATATTGAAATATTGGGATGCAAGGCTATTGGAAAATTGGAATACTGGAATATTGAAATATTGGAAAACAGGGCTATTGGGAAATTGAAATATTGGAACACTGGATTATGGAAATACTGGGATCTAGGAATACTGGAATATTGAAATATTGGGATACATAAATAAGAGCCAACGTGGAAGCCCTACAGGACACAGGGACAAATTAAAGCCACATCTGCTTTAATAATGGAAAATAAAGGAAATAAACGAATAAACCAAGAGGAAATTCCCAATCCTTCCACCTCCCATAGGGATCTGGCAGACCTCAAGCAAACCCCCTTCATTAACCATCATTAACCTCAGGGCTTAATTATTTCACACACCATCCTCCAGTCCTCACCTGGCACCAGCCACTGAACCCCAAAATTCCAGCACCAAGCTCCAAACCTCTCCCTCATGCCAAACCCAGCGTTGTAAATGTTCCCCAAACCACTCAAAAATGAGGGAAAATTTCATCCCAGTGCCCACAAAACCCTTTCCCCCTCAGCCTGGGAATGCTGCTCCCCCAGCTGGCACATCCAGGCGCAGAATTCCCCCTGCTCCCAGCGCTTCTCCCGCACGGAAAAATCAAAGGATCGGGAATTTGGGTCAGCTGGGACAGAGCCAAATCCCAGCTGGGATTTCTGCAGGTCCTGACAGCTCCTCACACCCCTTGGACTTCCAGAGCTGGCAGCAAAACATTCCTGCAGCTCGGAAATCCCTGGAATTAATCAGTAATTGGACTTAACCGACCCGGAGCGAAGTGCGACGGTGGGAGGATCCGGAGGGATCCCAGAAAACCAACCCCCCACGCTGGGATTTGAGGGATTTCAGCCCAAAACCAGCTGCAAAGTTTAAGGTTTTTTGGGGTGGAAAGGAAGATGAGTTTCCACACAGCAGGAATGTTCCCATGGGAAGGTGTTTTCTGGGGCAAAGTGACAATTTTGGGTGTGAAAAAGCAGCAGCTGGAGAACACGAATAGGAACGGGAAGGAAGTGTCTCCAGGTTGGAATCCGAGGGGTTTATCCCTAAAAATGCTCCTTTGCCCTCCCCAGGGTGGTCCTCACACTGAACTCTGAGGGGTTTATCCCTAAAAATGCCCCCTGCCCTTCCTGGGAGTCTCTATGTTGAAATCCAAGGGGTTTATCCCTAAAAATTCCCCCCTGACCTCCCCAGGAGGGACCCCATAGTGAAATCCAAGGGTTCACCCTTGAGAGGCTCCCAAAACCCCCAGTGAGGATTGGGGGGCTTAGCCCCCATCTCAGGACCCCCCAAATTCCCCTCAAGGACCGGGGGCTCATGACACCCTCAGCAAGAGACCCTCAGCCCACTCAAGACCCCCCTAAACCTCACCAAGGGATCCTCTGCCCCCTTGGTGCCTCCTCAGGACCCCCCAAATTCCCACCAAGGGCTGGGGGTCTCAACCCCATCTCACAATATCCTCACCAAGGGACCCTTAGACCCCTCAGGACTCCCCCAAAATTCCCACAAAGGGATGGGGGGGTCTCATGTCACCCTCACCAAGGGACCCTCAGGCCCCTCAGAACCCCCAGATCCCTTCCAAGGGCTGGGGGTCTCGCCCCCCCTCATGACACCCTCACCAAGGGACCCTCATCCCCCTCATGACACCCCAAACATCACCAAAGGGCGCTCAATCCCCTCAGGATTCCCCCCAAACCCCCAGAAAGGCCCGGGGGTCTCAGTCCCTCCTCACCCCACGATCCTCAGCCCCCTCACGACCCCCCAAC